AGCCTTTGCCCAAACCAAATAACATGTCTGGAATGGCCGAAACAAAGGCATCAACTTAGAATCAATAGAACGCCACAAGATGCTACATAATTGAGCATCAATTTTTGCCCAAAGCGCTATCGCCTTTTCATCTCCTTCGCTAGACTGTTTAATCAGATGATCTTGCACACCTTGACCTTTACACCACAACTCGACAGATGAAGCCCAAGCTAAGTAGTTTGAACCTCCCATTAAAGGTTCCGAGGTAATCATAACATTAGAGTTTCCAGAACTCATGCTTTTAGACACAAAAACATCAATTCCCAAAGGCATCTTGTCTCTTATTACCAAATAAGAGAAATAATCAACTGTAATCCACTGAAAATAGAGTAAGGAACACTGAACCAGAATAGTAAACTACTGTAGCAGTTGGAAAGTTACTGTTGCAGCCGGAAAATATTCAAAGTGGTCGGAATGAAATAAAAACAGTAGGGGTAGGATCGGAATTACCAGAAGACCCAACTGTTCTGAAGGAACTTTTTCAAAAAATGGCCGGAAGTCAACTTTTTGAAATCACTATTCACGCCGGAAAAATAAAAAAGTGGTCGGAATTTGGTGTAACCTGGATGGGTAGGCTCGGAATTGCAAGGGAAACAATCTGTCCTGAAGAGTCGTCGCCAAAAAATGGCCGGAAGGTGGCCCACGCAACGTTGGAACTTCGCCGGAAAATTTTCTTTGGACAGCTACAGTACCGCCGGAGATTTTCACTGGGATTTGGTCGCCGGACAGTGACTACTCTTGTGGTAGTGTTGGATTTTGTGCACAACACTGACCGAGACAAAGCAGACGCAAAACAACTTTGAAAGTCGCCGGAAAAAAAGGGTTCCGGTGACTGATTTTACTTCCCGGAATCGCTGGAATTTATGCACAGCGATAAATCTCTCACGATAGCTCTGATACCATGTGAGAAGGCACGGGAGAAAATATGATATATTGATATTGTGTGTGATGCAATATAAGAGGTGCTATTTATAACTACTCTATACAAAGGGGATACTACTCCTATTCCAGTGTGGGACAATTACATAGCTATCTCTAACATTTACATAGCTATCTCTAACAGAGAGCAGTTTGTAGAAGCTCCCTATCAAACTGATTGGTCTGAAATCTCTCAATTCTTTCGCACCTGTCTTCTTTGGAATCAAGGCTATATATGTTGCATTGAAGCTTTTCTCGAACATCTCCTGAGAATGGAAGTTGTTGAAGGCCTCTATGATGTCGTCTTTCAAAATGTCCCAAACACTTTATGAAAAAACCCATTGTGTATCCATCCGGACCTGGGGCCTTGTCACTTGCACACATCTTCAGACCGCTCAAAACTTCTTGTTCGTCAAAGTTACTCTGTAAAGACTTCCTCTCTGATTCAGAAATTTTTGGACTACTTTCAAAATTGACAGATGGTCTCCACTCTTCAGGTTCTGTGTATAATCCCTTGTAGAATTCAATGATCTCGTTCTCTATTCTGTCTGGATCCTCGACTACTTCATGTCGAATAATTAGTTGATCAATGTTGTTTCTCTTGTGTGCATTGGCAGTGCGATGGAAAAATTTTGTATTCCTGTCCCCCTTCTTTGAGCCACAGAGCTCTTGATTTCTGTCTCCATGCACATTCTTCGTTCTTGAGATGTTCCTCAATCTCCATTAGAGTGGCTGCCTTCCTCACTGATTCCTCCTCTGTCAGAGCTCTTAATTGTTGTGTTGCCTCAAAACCTGCAAGTTGACTCAGCAATTTTGATTTTTGCAATCCCAGATTACCTTTACAGCTTTTGCTCCATTCTTTTAGCTTGCCCTTTAGAGCTTTTAACTTGCAAGCTAAAATATAAACTGGTCTTCCTGAAAATTCAAAAGATGTTCACCAGTCTCTAATTCTGTCATCAAAACCTTCCACATTCAGCCACCAATTTTCAAATTTAAAGTATGATTTAGCTTGTTCCCAAGCACCACAGTATAGAGCCATAGGTGAATGGTCAGAAATCAACCTTTGTTGAAGAGTTTGGTTGATATTTTTGAAACTTTCATCCCATTCTTCTGAAATGAGAAATCTATCTATTCTTGAAGCGCTTGTATGATTATCCCCTTTGAACCAAGTATAGTAGCCTCCTTCAAGTCGAAGATCTATCAACTACATATCTTCTATAAAATTCGAGAATTCCACCATCGCTCTGGACCTCCTTGAACATTCCCGTTTTTCAGAAGGGTACCTTGTAACGTTAAAATCACCACAAACCGCCCAAGGACCCTCCATCAATCCCCTCACTGCACCAATTTCTCTCCATACTATTTTCCTTTCTATTCTGCAATTTGGGGCATATACTTCGGTTATGTGACATTGAAAATTCTGTAAGAGAGCCTCGAACTTGCAAGTCAAAGTGTATGCACCAGTCTGTAACCCCTCCCCTTTCCAAACTCTGCAATCCCATAATAACAAAATCCCCTCTCTCGTGCCGCTAGCTTCTAAACTTGCATACCTCACCCATCTCCCACCCCATATTTGATTGACTATTTCCTTGATATCCCCCTCCAATTTTGTCTCTTGCATGCATATATTATCTGCCCTCCAGTTCTGCACTTGACTTTTTATGATCTTCCTTTTCTTCTTATCGTTTAATCCCCTTACATTCCAAGAAATTAATTTGATCTTCATATTGAGATGATAGATATATCTCTTCCCCTGCTCCTTTTCCCGTCACTCTTGAATTTGACATCAAAAGAAGTTAATCCTTTTAATTCCAGTGATCCTTTGAACCTTTGTTTCTTTACCTCCAACTCCGTCTCCACCCTTCTAACCTGTCTGCAACTGTCAATTTGCATTAGCAACTCCAATGCTTCTTCTTCATGGCCTTGAAAATCTACTCCAAACATTTTCCCCAATTTGATCATATTTTGATGGACCCATAGTGTTGCATCCTTGTCTTTATCCATTAGTGGATTGTGTTGTTGTACTGCTATAGGAGTCACCTCCTCGATTTCCCAATCTTGGATAGTGCTGTAGTGCTTTAGTTGTTCTTGTTGCTCCAAAGCACTTTCGACTTGATCTTCCCCCATATTTGTGTTTGTGATCTGCTCCCCTGCCTTCTGTTCCATTCTTCCTATCTCTGCTCCACCTTCTGGCTGACCGCAACTGTTAAGTGTTGCCTTTGGTATACTTTCAAGGTTTGCATTGGAGATTGGATCCCCTGTACTGGATTCTTTTACCTTCAAAAACGAAGGGCCTCCCATTTCCTCAAAATAAGGCTTCAGCCTAATTTCATCAGAGGCCTCACACGAGAGATCATTAAAAATGACTTGTGCAGCCAAGTCGGAGTCATAGGATTTCAGCTCGTTGTTCGTCACTTTAAAGCTCCGATTTATCGAACTCGAACCATGTGTAAGTTGCACACATGCCTTTCCTTTATTATTGTTTTGCACTATGGTGCATTCCACTTCATTGTTCCAGTATCTCTCTCCTTCAAAGCAATGCGCGTTTTCTGGCATCTTCAGCTTAAATCTTGGCTGTCTTTTAGCCCAGATTGGGATGAAAAATTTGATCCCATCTCTTTCAATCCCAACCTCATTGGGAATCTTTCTGCCATCGCCAACAATTTTAATTCTAGCCCACTTAAGATGATTTTTGAGATCAGTTTCTTCTTCCGTAGCTATCCATCTCCCACAGAGATCTCTTATTTCTTTGAAGATCTTTTGTGACCATAAATGTAAAGGAATCCCCATGGCTCTAATCCAGCATGTTTCCACAATTTGTGAGTTTGGAATGCATCCAGCAATAGGATTCCACCATTCCAGATGAAGCTTGAACTTTCTCCATCTCCAGTCTCCTTGCAAAATCTGCTCCGCCATGTATCTGTTCGGAAATTCAAAAAGAAACATGTTGCCTGTCATTTCATACATGTTTACTCCATATGCTTTGTTCCATGAAGCACTAGCCCATCGCCTTATGTCTGCTAAAGTGGGTCTCTCATTGATTTCTTTCCCAAAAAACCCGATAATGCATCTTTTTAGTAGACCAGAATCCTCGCTACTTGTCGGTTCCACAACAGAGATATCTCCATTGTTTATGCTGACCTTTGCCTCTCGAAGGGTATTGGATTGCCATTTACTCTCCTTAATTGCTTTGACATAAGGATAATTGTCCACAGTGATTCTGGGTGGGACTGTGGGATTCATTTTGGGGGTCTGATATATGAATCTTTCTATCTTAGCTGCTATGTCTTTCCAACCAACATTCAAAGCTAACTCTGGGATTATAATAACTGACCTTCCTTCTCCCTTCAGTGACAAAATACTCATATATCTTCCATGAACGTTGATTTCCTAGTACAGAAATGTTCTGTCATTTGGTCCTTGTACTTCCATCGCTTTACTAAATTCATTTGATCTGTCAATGCTTCTTTAAGTACAAAGCAGATCCATTCCATTGCCTTTCTGCCCATGGATGAGCGTCTCATCATGCTGCGGCTTCTCTCCACCCATTCGAACCATACATCTTTGTTGGAATTCCATCTGGTGATGTCAAAAGATTTGAATCCTGCGTTGAAATATATCCGGTTTTCTCCCATATTGTACAAACCAGCTGCTCAGATTATGAAAATTATAAGGAGTGTTTGAAGGTTATCACAGTTGAGCTGTTGAGGTAAAAAGAAACTGAAATCTGGACGAACAGAGGTTCCCCGCCCCCCGGAAAAAATATAAGTCGTTGGAAATCTGAAAAAGCTGTACAGGTCTGGTCGGAATTAACCCCTGAGATTCATTGCTGAGTTCTGGTCGGAATTTCCCCTTGAAACAAAGAAAAACAAAGAGGAAGAGAGGGGAATAGATTATATCCGGAAGAAGCTGACCTCTGGACGGAAAAAGGTTCGTTTTCGCTGGAAAAAAGTAAAAGTTGTCGGAAATCAGAAATTTTTAGATGGTTGTGGTCGGAATAAAGCCGTGAGGAGGCTNACGGAAGCACCGGAGCTGGGCCGCGCGTGGCGGTGCGTGGCGTTGTCTATCCCGGATCTGTTTTCAGAGATTTGGTCGGAACTCTGTTGTCTCTCTAATGATGTTCGTGAAAACTCAATATTCCTCGTTCTCAGGCTCCTGGGGGAGTGTGCCTGAGAGCTTCTGAGAGTAGAGACGGGTTTTCTTGGCGAAGCTCCTTAATAACAGCAGTCAATACCTCAGGGTTAAAACCCAAATCGCAGAGAGCAATTAGAACAGAAAGAGTGTGACGATCGAGGCCTGTGTCCAGAATATTTAACATATGAAATACCAGTTCTAGAGAATCACGTGTTGTTCGTGCAGCCTCCGGATCCATTTCGAGAGTCCGTAAAGTCAAATCCTGAACATAAGAAGTTGAAAAACTACCCAAAACTTAAACTGAAATTTCAAATTAGAGTCCAAAATGGAATGGGGGAACCGAAAATTTACTTCAACTATATTAATATTATATTCACAAAAACATCATTCACTTTACAATTGTCCTGGACGAGTTTCATACTTTGAAAACGGTCGATAATAGCATCGTTACTTACAATTTTAAATATCTTACGCTCTATATAGCAAACTAAACAATCATTTAGAAAATCATCATCCATCCTATTACGCAGATCATTTTTGATGTATTTCATTGATGAGAATGCTCTTTCCACGCTTGCGGTAGCAGCAAGTATAAGCAAAGTCAACTTCACAAGCAAATAAACAAGTGGCCAAGTAAGATCCAATTTTGTCTCTATCATCACACTAGCAAAATCCTTAATCCCCTTCAGGTTAAGAAATCTGCTATCACACTTTTGAGCATAGACAATGAAACTATCAAGTTGGAAACCGAGTTCTCGAAACTTGTTATCACCAAATTCACTGGGATAATACTCTGCCAACTTCATTATCCCGTCCTTATCAAAATTAGCAAATGAATCAACCGGACTCAAACTGGCCATATCAAGTAGTAAGTCAGTAGTCACAACATCAAAACAGTCATTAAGCTCTTGAAATTCCAAATCAATAACAGTATAAAACACTTCCACACGAAAGTGATGTAAATATGAAACTTTGGACCTCTTACGCTTCGACTTTCCTAGAGTATAGTCTTCATCCATTTTGGGAATTAGAATATCATGTTTACTACAAAATGAGCACACCTCATCCAACAAAGAGTTCCATTCAATTTCTCTCATCATTTGCAATCTTTTCTTTGCAAGGTCAAGCATTCCCATAGCATTAACAATATCTTGATCTTTCTTTTGTAAAGCTTTGTTCAATTCATTTGTAAATAACAACACCTTAAACATCAAGTGCAACATAAAAATAAATCCAAATTCTTGAATCTGGCTCAAAAGATTTTCTGCTGCAAATCTATCAAGATGATATGGACAGTCACGCTTCATATCTTTAAGCACATTAATAATTGAAGGAAATAAAACCATCAAATTTTCCAAAGTTTTAAAATGAGACCCCCAACGAGTATCACCCGGTCATTGGAGGCCACGTTCTTGATTCAAACCTTGCCCCGTATAGACTTCTCCAAATTTAAGCAACTCTTCCAACTTATCTGCTTGATGATGTCGAAGTGACTCCATGCGCTTAAATGAAGATCCAATAGTATTCAAAACATTAGTAACAACATAAAAGAAATTATCCACATCCGAATGCTTTTTAGAAAAAGCTATAAGTGCTAGTTGCAATTGATGAGCAAAACAGTGAATACAATATGCAGAGGGAGTGTCTTGCAAAATTAAAGACTTGAGACCACTTATTTTTCCTTGCATTTTACTAGCTCCATCATAGCCCTGTCCACGTATCTTGGATCTACTTAATGAATGATCCAAAAGCAAAGAATAAATTTCTTTTTGTAATGATGAGGAAGACGACAATACCCAAGAATCGCTCTATCGCCATTCCACTTTTCTTGACATATCACAAAATTAAGGCCATATGCTCCTTATGTGAGACGTCCTTTGATTCATCAACCAATATTGCAAAATAATCACCATCCAAATCTTCAATGATAGCTTTAGCTGCTTCTTTAGCACAAGCCTCCACAATCTCTTTTTAAATTGTTGGACAAATCATCATATCATTTTGTGGAGCATGACGTAATATTACTCTTCTTCATCCAGATGCCGATCTCCGTGTCATTCCAAAAGTTCAAGAATGCCACCTTTATATTCAGATTCTTCACTTTCTATCATGTCCACGAAATGGAAATCCCGAAATTAAAAGAGACCTTGCCACATCAATTGAGGCATTTAAGCGCATTCGGTAATCAATTTTTACTTTTTCACTTTGCTTATCAAAAGAAGATTGAATCGATTGACGTTGATTTTTCAAATCTAGCATCCTATTGAAGCATTTGTGATGGATACTATTTACTTCACCAACATGTGCTTTGAATCTTTCTACACCCTTGTTCCAACCCCTAAAACCATCTTTTGTAGATGCATCCCCTGTATTTCCACGGCTTTCAAGTTCATTCTTGAACAAATAACAACACAAACAAAATGCCGCATCTCCTTTTATGCTATACTCCAACCATTGAGAATATGGTCTTCTAAACCAAGTGGGACTAAATTGACGCATTTTACTCCCAATCTTAGTTTTAGGAAAGGCATGACCAATCGGCTGTCAAGGCCCTTTGTTTATATAATATCTCCTTACTTCATCTCGAATATTAGGACCATAATCTGAAATTGGCATTCTTTCTTTGGGATCCGGTTCAAAAGATTTCAAATCAAGCACTTTATCCACATTTGAAAGTAGAGAAGGATTTGTCTCCCTTTGAACTTCCGGAGCGATCTGTGAACTCATGGATGACCAACTAGCACTAGAACTTGGTTCACCATTTTTCGGCTTGGTGAGAAATTTATCCATTTTAATCTTATGGATCGTTCCTACCAAATTAAATATTCACACTTCTATTTAATCTATCTTAATTCAAATAAATTGTTAAATTCAAATCAATCATATTAAAGCATGTCAGTCAAGAAGTTATGGCACAAAATTAGGCATCTGTAGTTCTATACATGTATATTTGAACTTATACACTTTAATTGTGTTTGGATTGGAGCAAGTTCTTCAATAACTATGAACTATATTGCTTGGTTTGAAAACTAAATTTGTTTTGACTAAATTTAGACGAAGAACTGTTATTATAGATATACAAAATAGTATATGCAGTTCCTCGTTCAAATTAATATGACAGATTTATGCTTATTTGATCTGGAGATTTTCTTGAACTTAAATTATTGTCCCACGAAATTCCTTCGCTTAAATTCTTTTTCCCATGGATTTCAATCTTTGACTCAGCCAAGCATTTTCTCAAACACAATATGTGCACAAATTCTATAAACTATCAAAATTCAAGACCTTAAAGCCCTAGCTCTCCCAAATTCTCACTAGAAATAACATCCAACAACTTCTCATTTCAAAAACAAACAATCAAAATCACCATCAAGGCATCAACAAGACAAAATCTCGGCAAGAGATTCAAACATTGAGCACTGAGCAGAACGGGAAAAGAGAGAGCGGGGAATAGCAAGAGTAGAAGAAAGCTGCAGCGAGTGAATTAAATACAGAGCAAGGAGAGAGAGTACTTACATACACGAGAATTTTAAAGGAACATGGAGAAGAAATTGTTGCTTTCTTGAAGTCCGAAGAATCCAGTTAGAGTCGATAGAGAGAGAGAGTTGAGAGGGAGATAGCGGTGTATTTTATTTGTAGGGATTTGATCGTATATACCCAAATTCCCCCTAAAAGACATGGGCTATGTTTTTAGCCAATAGGAACTTAAAAAAAAAACTTAATATAAAAAAGTGTAAGGGACAGGGATCGAATCCTTGACCTGGGGGACACAAGGGCACCAATTTACCAATGCACCAAGGTAGTCAATTGAGCATGGGTGGTCACAAACATATTTATATAAGATAAAATTTAAAATTGGAACTGTTTATACATAGTCTAGGGAGGGGAGCATGGGTGCATGTACCCCATCCCCCTCCACATAAATCCGCCTTTGGTATAACATTGTATTAAAATCCCCAACTATCATCCATGGGACTGCGATACTTAACAAGAGTTGTTGTAGAGTATCCCAGATGATTCTTTTTTGTTCAATCCCATTGTATCCATACACTACTGTGAGTAAGTAGTCAATATCACTTCTTCTACTTTTTACCTGACAATGTACCATTTGAGCATCATATTTAATACCATTAACGAGCAGGTTAGTGGTATCCCATAGTATCCAGATTCTACCATTTATTGCATCTTGGTAGTTTGTTAGCACATTCCAACTAGGTACAATAGCTTTTGCAATCCTTTGAGCATTCTGGTCCTACACTTTAGTTTCTATGAGTCCCACCAGCTTAATTTTATTTCCTCTAATATACTCTCTTACCTCCTTTTGTTTATATCTTTTATTTACATCCCTAATGTTCCAAAACAACCAATTCATCATAGTTGCATGGTATTTCCACCTCTATCCCGGTGGCATGTGATCCTCATATCTACTTGTTGACACAACTTCAAATCTATTCGTCACTAGGACAGGGGTTACAACTGGGAAGTTAATGAAGTTAAGTTCAGTGCTATTCTGCATTGCTTTGCCTATGTCATCTGTTTCTCCTTTGCAGCTACAAGTATTGTTGTGTTGTGTTGAGATGGCTCTTTAGTCCCCCTAGGATCAGGTAACCTTGTTATTCTTGTTTGGCCTGCAGCTACATTATTACCCTCTAGTTCTTGTTCAACAGGTGCGGTTTGCTTTGCATTCTGAGGTTCAGTTGCAACATGTATAGGCCCTTTGGTTCTCCATTCTTGTGCAACAACCTTGTTATCCCTTGCTCTCCTTATCTGATTTGGTTGTTGCATAACAGGGTGTGCTTGGGTAGTGCATTTATGTTCCACAACCAAACATTTGTCACAATAAGCAAATTTCCAGTCATAGGTTACAGACTGTTGAAATTTCTTTCCATAAGGGTCCATAACCATGATTTCAGTGGACAATTCTATGGTAACATTAACTTCAATAAGCATTCGAGCATAAGATACTCGAATCTGTTTAGTAGTGCACTCATCAGCAAATACGGGGTCCCAATTACACTAGCAATCCTGCTTAAAGAGCCAGCTCTTCAACACGACATAGGCAATTTAGGAAACTTTACCCATAGTGGCATAACAGTAGGGAATTCCTTTAATGAAATCGAAATCTGGAGTCCATGGTTTTAGAATGATGGGCTTGTTAGCAACTGAGTAAAAGCCAACACATAATATCTCTCGTGCATCTGCTGCGAACTGAAATTTGATGATATAATAGCCTTCATCATGATAGAACAGTTCAGGTTCAGAACATGCGCCCTGGGCCATCACCTATGATATATGCTATCAGTGCACGTCTCCATTTGTTCTCCTCCTCTTCTACTTTTAGCTTATCTAATTGAACCACAGGTTGACCATCAACAATTTGTGGCGGTATATAGGAAAGTGACATACCATTGGTGGCAAACCTATTCTTCTGAAACAGAGTTGTCCATGGTGCTTTAGGTCTGGTAGGCTCATCAACATTCGCCACCTCTACCACTGTTGATTTCTCCGAATTTCCTTGGTTACTTGTTTTTTAGCTTGATTTAATTTTCCATTGGCGGGCACTAGCAGAGAAGGGGCTAATTGACCCATTGTCAATGGGATGTTCAAATCTAGCCTCTTTGAGATACCAGAGTTCATCGATGAAGAACCAATTTCACATGCAGTGCCTCCGATAGTAGCTGGATCTACATTGGGGATGGATGTTGGTGTAGTTATCTCTTGCGTCAATTTCTCCATCGGTCATTGGTTACGAGTTACCACCGAGCTTACAAAGTTAGCTAGGGGTTGCGTCTTAGGTCGGCCGCGTCCTCTACCTCTCCCTTTCGCCATGGCTGACACAGGCGTCGTACGTTAATTAACGTGCGCCGAGAGCATGAGGAAGGAGGGTTTTTTTAACTGTCCGACTTCTGAACTAAATTGTGTAGTATCAGTGTTTCGGAGAGCGCGAAACGCAAAAAAATGACGAGGGCTCGCCTCACCCAAAGCGCGAAGTTCGAAGCTCGCAATTTTACAATTAAACTAAAATAAGCAATGAATTAAATAAATTATAACTCAACAAAAATAAATATTTAAACAAATGAAGCTTTATTTATAATTATAAATAAATATAAGCAGGTTTTTTCTCTATTAAATATAAATTATATTACATATCAATGTGTATTAAGTCTAATGTTGTGAAAAGCGCTTGCTTCGCCTGAAAAGCGATGAACCTGCGCCTCGCTTCGCTTCATCGCTTTAAGCGACGAAGCGCGCGCTTCAAACAACATTGGGTAGTATATAGCTCGAAATATTGGATGTTAACTGAAATTTATAAAATTCTTTTTCTTTTTATGCCTACTCCGTCCTTTGCCCTATGCTTGCATTTGCTACATGATGCAAAATTAAGCTTTCTGGAGCTGTTTGCATCAGGCCATGAGGCTTATGGTTGTATCATGTTTGGAAGTGCTGAATAAGCTATCCTTTCCAGTTAATATTAATCATTAAAGCCTGGTATTTGATTATTCTGTTTGGGATGGTGTGGAGAAGTAGGAGAACTATAGTTTTGTTTAAGCTCAAGGCGGCACCATGACACCACTTTACTTTCTAGGGCAAGCACATCCTATTTTGTGAACAATTATTTCGAGTTACGTGGACCAGCCTGCTAAGCTGTCTTGACATGAGATGATGTCAGTGCCTGCTAACCTGTCGTCGAAGGAAGATGGACAGTGATGCTGAAGCCAGGATGTAAAAATTTTGCTCTTCGTTAAATTTCAAATGTGGGTTATATATTACCCTTCTCATTCAGGTTTAAATTGGAGGAACAATTGTGTTGGAGGGAAGAGTGGACCCCCTTTAAGTTTTAACTTTTTGAGAAGGCTATTTTGGGATAGTCCAAAAGGGAAATATGAGCAGACAAGATGTGGAGAAAACAGATTTAACTTAAGTTGTGCTATGGGAATTTGTCGCTATGTATACGAATCATCATCGTAGAATCAGGGACGAATATCACAAAATGCAAATAAGCCATTTTCATGTGTTTGTATGGTTCCTCTTTCTGTCAAAAACTGGGCTGTTATAGGCTTTGCTTCATGGCAGACAGGCAATTCTAATCTCTGACTTGTGCATCTTCTGTATGCAGTGATTGTCTTTTAATCTTGTCAATATTTGTCTAAGCAAAAGCAAATTCATTAGTATTACACGGCTTTTGAGAGAACTAGTTGCTCGAAACTGAGGTGCCTTGATTTATCCTAGAAAAGAATCAAGAATTGATGTGTCAGCTTCTATCTTTACTACTTATTAAGTAATAAATACTGATGTTCTGACAATTTTTTCAGGTTCTTGAAATCTTGGAGTTATATAGACATATATATGAAGAATTCTTAGCTGTTCCAGTGAGTAAGGGAAAGAAAAGCGAGCTTGAGAAGTTTGCTGGTGGACTCTATACGACTACAGTAGAGGTAGACATTATTTGGCAGTTCTTTCTACTGCTGGTGAAATTGTTGTTATCTTCATTCTTTTACATTGTTCACGGCTTTGTTTGCTAGGCTTTTATCCCTAATACTGGCCGTGGTATCCAAGGTGCGACTTCACACTGTTTGGGCCAGAATTTTGCAAAAATGTTTGAGATAAATTTTGAAAATGAGAAGGGAGAGAAGGCTATGGTCTGGCAGAATTGCTGGGGCTTTACAACCAGAACGGTGGATACTCCCCATTGAGAAACTCTCTATTGTGCAGTTGGTAATTCAGATATCAATCTTACTCACCCTTCTTTTATCTGGTACTGTGACAGATTGGTGTGATGATCATGGTTCATGGAGATGATAAAGGCCTGGTCTTACCTCCTAAAGTTGCAGCAACACAAGTAATTCTTATTCCCGTGACATACAAGGATGCTAATACTCAAGGGATCTTTGACGCCTGTGCTGCCACTGTCAAAAACTTGAAGGAATCAGGTATTCGTGCTGAGGCAGATTACAGAGACAACTACTCACCTGGCTGGAAATATTCTCACTGGGAAATGAAGGGGGTTCCTCTTAGGATTGAAATAGGACCAAAAGATCTTGCAAATAATCAGGTACGGATTATAGTTACTCTCTACTGATTCAGTTGTTCATGAAAACAAAAAGTAGAAATGTTGTGTGCTATGGTGTTAATTGTTTGTTTTCTGAAAGCAGTCAAATAAAGTGTGGTATCTGTTTTATGTTTTTTGATCCAAAACTCTGAAATAACTTTCTCAGGTACGAGCTGTTCGACGTGACAATGGAGCCAAAACTGATATTCCTGTGGCAAATTTAGTCGAAGAAGTAAACAATGTGCTTGCCTCTATCCAACAAAATCTATTTGATGTCGCAAAACAAAAGCGGGATGCTTGTGTTCAGGTTGTAAAGACCTGGGATGAATTTGCTGAAGCAATAAGCCAAAAGAAATTGATCTTGGCTCCTTGGTGTGATGAGGAGGTAAAATTCTATCAATCTTGTTGCATATGAGATGAATTTTTTAATTTGCTCTTCAATATTGGGCTGGAAAAATAGAGGGAGTTTCTCGGAGTCAGTCTCTGCATCAGGAAAGTTTGATCTTGAAATGCCACATATTGGCAGGGTTGAGTCTATCTAGAAATTCAATGGATTGCGATCATGGTCAATTAGCAACTCAATATCTACTGATTATATCAAATTAAATCAAGAAATAACTTGAGATTCATGATCCCTGTCTAAGAGATATGGTAATAAACAGACTCAGAACCAATGCTTTATTTGTCAGATCTGATCACTAGTTTTCCTTATGCAGATGGTCATATATTCTTCTCTTTTGTGTGAGGGGGTTTAAAACTCATAAAGCTCTAACTAGGCACACCTTAACCATCTTAAGAAACTCACTTCCATCATCCAGAATTGAAGCATGGATGCTCCTATGTCTGGTTTGTCCGGCTGGACAAATCATGTGCTCACTTTTATGAAGCAAGAAAAGTGTCCTAGTTGCAGTTGGTGTTTTCCCTGAGCTGGTGAATAGACTATTTTGGCTACACTGTTACAAATGCCACCTCCTTTTCCCAGCCCAAAGATGATGAAACTGAGAACGAACTTAAACTAACAAATCTTTCTATAGCACTTTGTTTCATAGTGAGTGCAGGCTCTCTCTCCCTTTCTTGTAATGATAACATTAGTTTGCATAGTGAGTTTGTTATTCCTGATACACATTCCTCAAATTAAGGTGATCAATTTATTCCCAGCTAGATTATCATTTCCTGTTTGCATATGTTTCACATGAACTCTGATACTTTCTAATAGGATGTCGAGAAAGACGTGAAGGCACGGACAAAAGGGGAGATGGGTGCAGCGAAGACTCTCTGTTCACCATTTGACCAGCCTGAGCTGCCTGAAGGTACTATTTGTCCTTGCAGTATGTATAACTATTGCCTAAAACACAGCGAAGTTAAAATAAGCGTTGCCGACTGTAGACTTGTCAATTTTACTGCTGTTTTGGTGGTACTGCTTATTGAAAATTGAATTTTACCATAATCTGATATTATCATTTTCTCCTGCTACGTCGTAGGTACATTGTGCTTTGCCTCGGGTAAACCTGCTAAGAAATGGACATACTGGGGCCGCAGCTATTGATGATTCATATTGATCTCTATTCCATTTTTCTGAGTTCGGGCGATTTAGAAATTGTATTCCGAATTGCTAATTGCAACCATTAGTTTCTTTCTTAACATGTTTGGTGCTGGATAATTCACTGTCTTTTGTTTCCCCCTTTTCCCGATCTTATATTGAATTTTATAGTTCACACTTCACAACTCAAAGAGAAGCTCTTAAATATTTGCACCTCGTCTTTTTTCTAACTAATGATTTACTTTAAAAAATTGTATACACAGGGGTGGCAAAATGGTTAATGAAAACAGTTAACCACCCATATTATCCACTAAAAAATGGGTTGAATAATGAACTTTATAAAAACGGGTCAAATATGGATAAGAACCATATTATCCATTTAGAAAATGGATAACTAATGAGTAACCAATGGATAACCGGGTCTAACTTTTACATTTCTAAAGCCTCAAATTGAGGTTTCTCAAATTAGGGAGACTAAATTTTTTTCCAAAAGTGATCATATACAAGAAGTCATGGATAATATGTGTAACTCATATTATTCGCCGGTTAACCCATTTTTTATCTGTATTAAATATGGGTCGAGTCGGATATTTGATCCGTTTTTTCATTACCCATTATCGACCCGAATCATATCCGCCCGCGCCTCCCGGTTGCCACTCCTATATACACCAAATGGCTATCTTATCACTGTAGTATTCAGGCTTCGTTCATTCTCATTGCCGCAATGCTTCTTATCCATATCTAAAGTAAGCAAAGTTAATTAGAATATGGTCAGAGAGCCTTTAATCTTCTGCATCCAGAAGATTAGTGACCTGGTAAATAAAGTAAATGAATTTGTTGCAATAACCTGAATTCTGAACTGCACTTATTTGTCAAATATTTGCATTGGGAAAGTATAAGTGAAAACTACAGACCAGTAACGATGCAAAAGGCAATACAGAGAAAAAAAATACTACTAGGAGTATATGTTATCACAATCTAGATTTTGAAACTATTGATAAAAACAAAAGTAGGAAAACATTTTGTAAAAGGTTAAAGAGATCGATCATTGTCTCTGATGATTGTTTAACCAAAAAGTGTAATTTCAGTCAAAGCTTTAATTTAGAAGAACACGAGTTACTGATAATCAAAACTGAATAAAGGAAAGTGATTTTGCTAACAATAAGATAGACAGAAGAAAACAAAGTAAACAAGTATATTCAGATAATCTTTCGTGTCCTTACAAATGATTCATTCTCTCATTTTTATAGCTATATATCTTAAATATATACGTTTTGCCTTTGTTATAATTAGGTCATTATAGACAATTAAAGGCATTAAATGCTATGTTACATAATCATTGTAATTTAATACATATTCTCTAACGTTTTTAGTATTTACTCTTATTAAATACTGTATCTGTACTCTCTTATGCTGTCAGATTCATTCTCCTTGATTTTTGAGTATAAATAGGTATGAGTCTTTTGAATAGCTGCTCGTGCCTCTACTTGTACTTTCTGCTCATATTTATTGCAACTCGTGCCGCTTTGCCAATCATCACTCTTTGACCAGCCTTCGCATCATGACACGTATCTTCCAATCACTTTAATATGTAAACTCGATTTTCACAAATACAATGATACTTTAAAATAATTTAAGTTCGTTATTTTATGGAGTATGTAAAAGCTGATTCCGTAATTGTATAGTGTAGTCACTATGCTTACAATAAACTAATCGATAAAACGAAATTTTCAGAATTAAACAATCTGCATATTTCACACATAACCATAAAGTGACGATCTCATTAATGATACAGATCCTCATCAAACCAACACAATCAGTGGATTTCTACTTATCCCCCACCACTAATACAAGAAACACTGACCAAAATTCCTAATTAAAACACCCAAACCAAAACCTGAGAAACTACAAATCAGAAAAAAGATTGGTGGGAGAATAAAAAATCCATCTCTCACCATTCAAGTTTTTAAGTACACAAAAACAAAACAAGATAAATTTAAGTAGGTTTCAAATTTTGAAACATTGAATCCCACCTGATTGAGGATGTCCAATAATCACTATAATCTAAATCCATTTTCTCATCCCCACGAAGATCATGAATCATAGGACTCGAAAAACTATTAATTCTTGAACTAGACATGAATATAGGACTACCATTTGTAAGCAACAAAGTATTCTGCTTTGGTGCTACAACACTACTCTTGTTTCTCTTCATCTTGAGCATTGTTCTCTTCCCTCTTGAACTGTAACTTCTTCTAGGCACAAGTGCAAGTGTTGATTCGTCGCGACGAAGAACCCATGTCCTAAAATACTTGGAAAAACGTTTCTTGGTACGTTTCATTACCAAGAGAAACTTTGACATGGAATTTGGAACAGCTCCTCTCTCTTTCTTGGCAAGTTTGAGAATTTCCAGCCTGTGTTTGGCTATAGAAATTCCCATACTTTGGAGAAATTCATGGTTGAAGTAAGGAATGTCGTCTTGTTCTAGCTCGTTATGTGCAAATGCTAGGCCATATTCATAAACAAGTGATGGCTCTAGTTCTGTTTTGGACAGCCAAGAAAACCAATCCATGGCTAATTTGTTGTGTTGTTTGAAAGGAAAATAAATGTGTTTTGGAAATATTTATAAAGCTGAAAGTTAAAACATTGAAGGAAAAGAAAAGCTAAAGGCTAAAGGCTAAAGAAATGATGAGAAATTGGACATTTGGAGTTTGCTTTTTCGTTAGTGTGTGGCTATTACTTTGTTGGGGTGGTAGTTGAGACTTGAGAATTACTAAAATAAAAAAGATGGAGATGTTGAATATGATTTGTGGGGTATTCACTATTTCAAGGCCATGTTGTTCCCTCCAAAATTTGGCAAGTGTGAATTGGGACTTTTTCAAAGAGTGAGAAATAAGGAATGTTGGAGAGTTATATTGCCATCAATCACGGCGTGGAAAAAGCTTGGGTATATATTGGGGTTATTAGCCCTACTCTGCTTTTGCTTTTATTTTGCCTTTGCTCAAGGGATTATGATTAGTCACTCCAATATGCAAGGAGAACCTTTTCTAGTGTTAAAATAGTTTTGGGTTAACCAGTTTTCAGATCGATCATTCAAAAATAACCAGTATTTGTCAAGTCATTGAAAAATAACCACTATTTTGTTATAACAGAGACCGGTCCAACATAATATACTAGAGTTCGGTGCATCTGTGTATGAACTTCCAGCATATACTTTGCTGGCTCCAGTATATTTTATTATGCTGGAATATTTTACGGATTTTGAACAATGTTTTCATTTAAATGTATCTTTACATGAAAAGTAGTTAAATTTCGATGAACTTTAGAAACTATGGCTATTTTTGAATCACCACTTGTGAATCTGGCTATTTTTGAATTTCTCCCTTTTCTAATAGCACCAAAGAGAAACCTAAACCTCTAAGCAACAATATTCTAACTCTGATGTTCGGACTAATTTATTACATGTTATCTTTCACTTGTACAAGTATCGAGAACTATACCTACTAAGACATATAACAACAACAATAACGATCCGGTATAATCTCATTAGTGGAGTCTGGTAAGAATAATGTGTACGTAGATCTTACATCTACCCCAAGGGAATAAAAAAGTTGTTTCCGAAAGACACTCGACTCAAGAAGACAAAAAGAGTTAAAAGTATATGAAAAAAATTACCTAGCGTTTTTGACTTTGCTGAAATTTGAACTCTTGTTTTCTATGATTTCCATCCCAAGGTCGGTGTGTGTGCAAACTCTAAATCAAATTTGTGCATCAATTTTCTTGTTTAAAGAATTTGATTTCTTCTTTTATCTCGCCCTACACTAATTTGTGTGCTTGCAATACAGAGTGGGTATATAGAAAAAGCTTTTCCAGATCTTTGACTGAGAATCTGCTTTGTCCAGAAGGTACAAAAGTGTAGGTTTGATTAATCGTATATTATTGATAATGAGGTTTGACTCAAATTAATTTGCAAAATCAGGTTTTGCGTGCCATCGTCCTTACCAATTTCCAATATGTTAGTAACATCAGTGTGGATGCCTACAATACATACCTAGACAAAACTGCATCAATAATTTGTTATATATTCATACTGCGCGAGTAGGAGTAGCAAATGGGCGGGTCGGGCAGAGGCGGATCCAAGATTTAAATTTTATGGGTTCAATTTTAATGTTTTTAATATTGAACCCATTATATTTTTAAAGTTATGGGTTCATATATATTATTTTTGTAATTTTAATGAATTTTTATATATAATTTTTTACTTCGCGTCGAAAGTTATGGTTTCAGTTGAACCCATAGTCATTACACTACATCCGCCTCTGGGGTCGGGTCGGATATGATTCGAGTTAACATGGATAATAAAAAATAGATAAATTATTCGATCCGACCCATATTTAATACGGATAAAAAACATATTAACCGGTGGATAATATGGATAACCATATTATCCATAACTTCTTGCATATGATCACTTTTGAGAGAATTCTTAGTCTCCCTAACTTGAGGAACTCTAATTTGAGGCTTTACAAATGTAAAAGTTAGACCTTTGGTTATTCATTTTCTAAATGGATAATATGGTTCTTATCCATATTTGACCCATTTTTAAAAAGTTTATTATCCAACCAATTTTCAGTGGATAATATGGGTGATTAACTGTTTTCTTTTAACCATTTTACCATCCCTACTACGCGAGTATAATGGCACTCTGCATTCAACAACAACAAACTCAATGAATTTCTGACAAATGGGGTTTGAGAAGAATAGTATATACGCAGACCTTATATCCAGGGAGGGCAGGGAGGGTGTGTCCTTACAAATNGGGAGGGGTTGGGGTGAGGGGGTTGGGGGATGTGATTTCTTGAAAGATCCCAACAAACAACTATGCTTTTCAAAGTGCACAAAGTAATGATTTTGCAATGGTTTGTTCCTAAAGTTTACTACATTTGCATGCCCTCATCCTTATTATTTGAGCTTGGAATTTGAGAAAATAGCTCACGGACCGGCAAAAACTGGATTCTAGTTACTGTTACCCATGTGAAAAAAGCAACCTTCGATTTGATTTTCTTTTGAAAAAAAAAAAACAGTTAGGTGCAGTAAGCTCTAGCTATGTGCAAGGTACAAGGAAGAGCCGGATCACAAGGGTCTATTATACACAATCTTACCCTACATTTCTGCAAGAAACTATTTTCACAGCTCAATCCCCCGTGACCTCCTGATCATATAACAATAACTTTGCCAGCAACTTTGATGGAAAAAAAAGAAGAAGAAGCTTGTTACATAATCATCTTATTCATACATCAACCTTAATTTCCACGATGGCCCAGGGTTTACTCATAAGCGCAAGTAAAGGAACTTATTAGTGAGGGAAATTGAAGTAAAGAATTTATCAAAATGGCTAGCACGAGCAACAAAGTTAAACTAGAACAAGACGAATGGAAACAGCTTTTGAGCTCTCATGAAGGCAAGTAAAAATGATCATGCAATTGTGGGTAGATTAGAGGTCGGTATTTTCAACTGAACCAGAAAATCGTATCAAATCGAAAAGTAAAATTAAACCGTTTAAAAACTCGATTAGGTTTGGTATTGAGCAAAAAAATTTCGAACCAACCCGATATATAAATTATAATTTTTATATATACTTTTAAGATTTTATATAGAATTTTTTTTAGAAAATATCTAGAAATGTATGGGATTCTCTCACCGGATGTAATATTTAATAAAACTATGAAGTGCATATCCATATTTATTTACGTTAAATAATGAATTGCATTATTTACGTTAAATAATGGGTTGTATCATCGCTTTCTTATCAAGTGTTATTGAAATGTGTCATTCCCTTTATTCTTTCATATTCATATGTCAAAATATGCTATATTCTTATATCTTTTTCGAATTTAAAATGGTAGTTCAATAATTTTAAAATTAAAAACATATCATTATTTAGGTTTTATATTGATTTTATGCTTAATTATTAAATTCGATTAACCTTGAAGCATATATCAACAGAAAATTATTGTTAGATAAGAGAATAACTATCATGTGTTACTAAAAAAAATCTCCCATAAGAATATTTTAATATATCATATGTTTGTCTGTTTTTAAAATTTTTACTAAACATATATTCACTTATCAAAACTTTATCTATAATTTTAACGAAGTAAGATTGAAAAATATTCATGTAACAAAAAAATTCAAAAACCCGAAAAAACTGACAAAACCGAACCAATCCAAATCGATATAGTTAGTTTCGTTCGATTTTAATAAAAATCGAACCAACCCGATCCATATACACCCCTAATTAATTAGAGGTTAGAGGTGGATCTCGAAATCAATTGTTATGCAATCATTTGTTTTATTCCTTTAAAAGAGAATTTTATTAATGAAAACGAGATTCAACCCTTAAAGGCTGAGAAGTGAGAATCGCTGATGTGAGAGACACGTGACTTTTCAATCCAAAATTAATATCACTAAACCATTTTGCATAGTTAAAGTACTTTGTGCGCATCTCAAAAATTTAGGAACAAAAAGACCTACCAACCCCATCCACTAAGGGCTCGTTTGGTTGCTTGTTAGAGTTATACAAGTATTATTAATATAGAGATTAGTTATATAGGAATTAATTATGTAGAGATTAGTTATGCAGAGTTTATTTATGTAGAGATTAGTTATGTAGGATTTTGTTATGCATAGTTTAATTATGAAGGGATTAGTTATGTAAGAATTAATAATGCATGAATTGTAATGTAAAGATTATTTTTGTTAAATGTTTATTTTATTTTAATTATACGATGTGTAATTTAAAATAAATCTAAGTTTTCTTTGATCATTTGATTATTTAATCCATGTATTACTATTACATGTATTAGTTATTCTACATTCTATCTTTCATAAAAACTACTCCGTTCTAATTTATGTAAACATGTTTGACTGAGCATGGAGTTTAAGAATAAATGAAGACTTTTGAAATTTGTGGTCCTAACCAAGTTAAAAAGGGGTCCAGAGTATTTATGTGGTTATAAAAGCTTCTCATTAAGGGTAGAATTGTAAGTTTAAGCTCAATTGTTTCCAAATTTAGAAAGGGATAATTTTTTTTAGAACGGACCAAAAAGAAAATAGATTCGTTAGAACGAATGAAGTTTATAGATTTGTTGTATAGCTTATTCATTTATTACTTATATCCACCATTGGAAAAAGCAACCAAAACATATTAGTATTAGTAATGCTGACTTTTAATTGTACAAAGTAACTAGACGCTATCAAACATGAAACTCATCAATTATTTATAAAAATACAAAAAGTGATATATTTATTTTTTGGGATCCCTTGGGGCTTGAACAGTTGACAGGGCCAGGCAAGATTTGGTCACATGTTGTGTTGTTTAGTTTTGGACACAAAACCAGATATACGCCTTAAATGTCTAAAACCCTACCTCCTCAACCACCACTGACCCAATTGAGGAACCTTTCTGTACTGACAACCACTCCTACTTCAGCTATTCAATGGAGGTGGAGAGATTTCCCATCACCACCAATGTGGCTTTGCAGAGAATGATTTGCTCAGTGGTGCTTGAAACTGCTCAAAAATCTCTTCTTTCTCTTCTCTTCATGGTACATTGCTCTAGCCCTTTAGTCATAGACCTTTTCTCTTAATACAAGTTTCAGTGGTAGAAACTTAAAGTTCTTTTCTTGGATTGTGTCGTTGGAGCTGTTTCCTTTCCACATTAGACTGCCTGATTTTGTTTCAAATACTATGTTGCAACACTTTCTGTAGAAAAATAGTACTAGTATATGTTGTTGTCTCATCATCTTATGCTTTGGATATCTCTAGGGATATAAATGTTTGGAGTCAACTTGCTTTATGGTTTTGGTAGTTGCTGCTCCATGACTAGTTTGTAACATCACACGGAACTAGAATTTGAATGAGTTCCGACTTGCCAGTGGCGGAGGCAGGATCTTCCCGAAGGGGGTTCAAAAAGAAAAAAGTTAAAAAAAAATTGTAGCTAGTGAGAATTGAATCTATGACCTTACAAAGGTTTTGAACCCCCTTGACCACTAAGCTACACTTTTGGGCCGTGTCAAGAGGATTCAAAACTTAGTATATACATGTAAAAAATAGATTTTGCCTTATATATATAGTGTAATTTTTCGGCGAAGGGTTTCGGATAAACACCTTCCGCCCCCCTAAATCCGCCCCTGCATGCCACAGAACTCATAGCCCGTCTTAGTTAATGGGTTCACAATTAAATATTTATACATTTCAGTAATAGATTTCTTAACATAAATATAGGGTCTAAGAAAAACTATTGGGTTCATCCGAATATGTACCTAATACTTTAGCTCCAGCCTTGTCAATATATAGTGTATGATCTTGGCCTGGTGTTTCTTGTTATTACTGTTTTGCTTCCTTTCATAGATAAATCTGTGCTAAATCAGATGCCATTTTCAGAGTGAGCTTCTATGCTTGTACTCGGACCTTGTTGGAGCGGAGAGGAGGTACTGAAAAATTCTGTTCTCCCCTGCTCAATTTATTTTCCTCTTTGTTTGTCTGTTTGAGAATTTGAGAAGTGTTCATTTGATGCTCAATCACATTATAGGTTTCCTTTTGGTGAGCTTAAAAGAGCTACGGCACCAGATAATGAAACCATGGATTCAAGTGAAACTGATGATGATGAAGACGAAGATGATGAGAACACTGATGATGATGATGACGATGATGATGAGTATTCTGATGAAGGAAGTGATGATGATGATGAAGAGGCTTCGGATGGAGATGATACTGGGGCAAATGGGAATGGAGGGCATGATGATGATTCAGATGACGAAGATGGTGATGATGAAAATGACGATGAGGACAATGAAGAGGATGATGATGAGGATGACGATGAAGAAGAGAATCAACCACCATATAAGAAGAAAAAGTGAGATCATACTACATTTTATATGATTCCTAGATTTATTTGGTGGGGAAAAAGATTCATAGTGAAATCTTTACCATGAGGTCAATGCCAATGGTTCTTATATGTTTCGATGCTATTCAATTGCAAAGTTTTAGCTCTTGGAAATTGACCTAATTTCCAACTTAGTTCTCGCGTAACCCCAGAAAAAGAGCTATGCTCTGTCGATAAGAATGACATACAATGGGTTACAACTTACAACAAAAGGTCCAAGTTGCAGCATTGGGAGTTCCTTTAGTTTACGACTGGTTTTGAATGCCTATAACTTCTATCCTTTATATTCATGTTGTTTTGAACATATTCATCTTCGTTCCACATTTCGTGTCCACCTGTGGCTGGTTATACCATTTGAATCGCACTATTAGTTTCACTGGTAAAGATCACATATATAATCAGTACAACAAAATTTGTATCATCACCTAGTATGCGTTAGGAGTTGCAGAATTCTTAATTACTACAGAATCTACATTAAAAATGGATACTAGCTAACTAGTAAATGAAAAGGAAAAAGTACTGATGCTTAAGACTTTTCTTTTTAGTGTCCAAACTGATGCACCAGACTTGTGATCTCCTACCGAATAACTCTATCTAAGCAAAATATAAAGATACAAAACTAAAAATGAGTATTGTAATCAGAAGGTCGGAACGAAAGCAACGACAAGTAATCACAGAAGTCAAGGAATACGAAAATACATAAATAACGCTAATTCATGTACTAAAGCTACTATTACAGACAAGGACAACACTAGGCGACCTATCCTAATCTTTTATCTTTATTCTCAACTTCCACATGGTCATATCCTCCGTGAGCTGGAGCAACGCTATATCTTGCCTGATCAACTCTCCCCAATACTTCTTCGGCCTACCTTTACCTCTCCTTAGGCCCTCCAGAACTAACCTCTCACACCTCCCCATCGGTGTATCTGTGCATCTCCTCTTCACATGTCTGGACCATCCAAGTCTCGTTTCTCACATCTTGTCCTCCACAAATCGCCTGCCGTTTTTTGATTATATCTAGCATGGTATGCCCGCACAAATCGCCTGCCGTTTTTTGATTATAGCATATTATCAGCCTTTGCACAATATCTCTTAAAGCCATCTAATTGTAATCTCACTAGGATAGTCCTAATTCCTGATAACAATGATTCATGTGCTAATCATGGTCGATTAAAAAGGACTGAGTAATCTTTCCAGAACTCTGAACCCATTAGGCTGTTGAGAAGTCTAAATTTTGCTTACAATAAATTTAAGTACATCAATCGCAATATAGAGTTTCTAAAGAAGCTAACATAACATTGTACTATGACTTACTGAGGCAATTTTCCAGAGCGAAAAATGGCAAATTTAGAAACAGTAGAGTAGGAATACTCAATACCATGACTCTTCAAAAGCTCCTCTATCAAATCCTTGGCTTTTTCCGGATCCGAACTCTCACATTCAATCTCATAATTCATTCCAAATTCATAATGCGTTTCATCCAGCTCCAATTTCAATCCTTTCCACTCATACACCGCTCTCACATTCCTAAACCCACCCAAACAAACCAAACCCTTTTCCCCAATTCCATACTCATCTCTCACCCTTTGAATCACCCTCGAAGAATCAATCAATAAAAGCCGCCAGGGGTCCGAAACACACGCGCGGCCAATGGAAGGGTCAATAGGTTCTTCATCTTCTTCAATACGACTTACGCCGTTTGAAATGACGGGTTTAGCCTTGAGGGAAACAATGCATTGGGCGTCGAGATCGTAGAAGCGGAGGCGGAGGACGGCGAGTTTGGAGGAGAGTTCGGAATTGGCTCCGTCGAAGAAGATGTTTTCTTGGGCGTGGGTTTTGAGGTGGTAAGGTGAAAGAATTGAGGAGACGCGTTGGTGAGAAACGGCGTTTGGTAAACGGAGCTTGACTTCTACTTCCATGGAGGTTATGGGTTTGGAAATGGCGGAATGCGGAGATCTGCAGAGGGATGGAAAGCTGAGGTTTTTAAGAAATCGTAATGCATTTGACATGAATGGGATAAAAGTTAAAAGCTTGAAATGAATGGGTGGTAGGATTTTAAAAGAGTCTTTCCTCCCTTTTATCTTTTCTATTTTTCCTTCCGTCAGAAATCCATGAAATTTTACAAGTAATATAATAAAAGCATTGTACAACCATACCTCTCTATAACAATATCCCTATATAATAATACTTCACCATATAAAGTCAAGCTTCTATAACAACATCTCTATATAATAACACTTCACTATAAAAGCCAAACTTTTCCGGAACCAATTTTCATGTTATGTTATAATATATGTTCTCTATAATAGCACTTCGCTATAACATCCAAAAATATTCGGAACAAACGAAACTATTGCGTTTGACCGTATCTATTTCATTTTCATAGTCATGTAAGTGCATATTTGACAAGACTATTTTCGAGTTATCTGTATTTAAGAAAGGTGACATCATAAGTAATAGTAAAGAAATTGAGAGATAAAAACAAGAAGAAAATAGCAATTAACTATAATAATAATTTGCATAAATAATCGATTCCAACTAATTTTGATTGACATAATTGTGTTAGTACTAATATTGTTTTGATAGATTAACACTTAGTCAAATTGACTCTCAAAAAATCAAAAGTGTTACGTAAATTAAACATATGAAGTAGTTGAGTTTCAGGATAAATAAGAGGCATTATAAACGTTGAAGTGACAAAGAAGTGGTAAAGACTATTTTCCCTAGTTAGCTGGAAAACAATTACAAGCTAAAGGTTACAGTATCTTACTTTAATACTTTCGCTTACACCAATAGGTTTGTAATATATAGGAAAAAAATTACATGAATAGGTATTTATTTAAAGGTGTAGCATGATAAAAAAGGAATATGATAAACCAATTTAAGAATTACACTAGGAAGGAAAAATATGTGAAAATTTCAAGGAAAAATAACTTTAAAGAAAAGGATCAATATGATGACATTTATAGTTTTGATTGTGGAAGTCTACTTTGAAACACATCTTCGTTCTTAACCAGACAAATTATATTTTTAATAGAAAAGGTCCATTCATGCCAATGAACTATATGAAATTGTACATATTTGTTCATCGTTAAAATGTGGACTCAACCATGCCCTTGCCGTGTATAAGGTGGTTCACATATGCCATTTTTAGACGGATCTACTAATAAAATGTTTAGTAACAAATTTTGACACGTGTTACAATCTGGTGCATTCCATCTATACCCTAATTTAAATAATAAACCAGCCCGACCCATCACTCTTATTTTATTAAACCGACCCGACCCTGTACCCTATTTTAATAAACCCCAATCCTATTTTTTTACTCCACTCTCTCACCTCTACTTTCTTCTCCCAAATTCTCCTCTCACCATAGCTGATTGGTCAATACAAAGTGAGCTCATTATTTGAAAAGTGAGCTCATTTCAACTGGTTTTTAGTTGCAGAATGGTTTAAACCCCTGATTGATTGTTTATCAGGACTTAAAAAATTCAGTTTTTTTTATGATTTTTCATATTTGCGTGGAGGTCAACAATAGGATATTGATCTTTTCTTTGAATTTTTTTTTGTTTTCCAGTGATTTTTACCATTGGTGAGTATAACATAAATGACGGAAGGCAGTAAAATCTGTTTTCTCTTAGCTTTCACTTTTCTATTGTTGGCTGTTGTCGTTAAAGTGACGTTGGGTCAAAATTCTGCGCCTGGCGATGATATTCTGTTGAACTGTGGAGGTCCTGACTATCTTGAAGACGTCTATGGTCGAAAATGGGGTTCGGATGTTGGGTCAACATATTTGAAGGGTAGCAAGTCGTGGGGTAATAAAATAGGGTTGGGGTTTAAAATAGGATACTGAGTCGGATTGGTTTAATAAAATAAAAGTGATGGGTCTGGTTGGTTTATTATTTAAATTAGGGTATAGATGGAATGCACCAGATTGTAATACGTGTCAAAATCTTGTGCTAAACGTTGTATTAGTGAGGTCCGTCTAAAAAGTGGCATATGTGAGTGATGATAGGCTATAATTACGTATTTTAGTCGCTTATTACACTCAAATTTACTGCACTTTAATTGAGTTTGAGCTTTAATCGCTAGTGTCTTGCACTAATTGTGTGTTTTACGCCTTGTAGGAGTGATTCCGAGCTATGTAGATGTTATGGAATGAATTCAAGTGATTTGGAGTTTTGAAGTCTGAGTAAAATCCCAAGGAATTAAGTCGGGATCGTATTCGGAGATCAACGGATGATAGACCAACAAAACGAAGAATCGAGTAGGCATATTGCGCACTATTTAGTAAAATGCACATAATATTTTGCTCAGAACTCCATTTAGGCTCCACAATATATAATTGGAAAGATAACTCAAAGATCTACAACTTTCATGTTTTACATTTTTACAAATTCCAAACTAAACAGGGTGAAAAATGCGGTCGAAATAGCAACCGCGGACCTGAGGCGGGCTGAGGCAGTACACTAGGAAAGCACCGCGCTCGGGCCGCGGCCGCAGACGTCCAGGCCTGGAAACTTGTCCTTTTTCACGTAGGAGAAGGTATAATAGTTTGGGCCCGACCCTACTTGGTATATATACATGGAAAAATGGTATTTTGAGCGGAGGGGATCAATTTTTGACACAGATTCAACCTAAGGAGGTAGAGACACAAGAGGAGCAAGGCGGAAAATTCTTCTACGAGTTTTTCCTTCTTCTTCCTATTTTTTTTATTATGGTTATGACTTTTAGTATTGTAGTTTTACATACTATTATGAATAGCTAATTTGTTATCTAGGGTTTTGATAGAACCTTTTGTAGGATAAATTCTTGTTATGTTTTTATATAATTGAGCTGTTGGATTTCTCTACTTGTTCAACTACGTGTTTGTTGTTGTTGATTGAATGACCATCAATTTACTGTGCCTATTTAGTGTGTAGTGCTCGAGAGAGAGTACATATTTAGGTAGTTGTTGAACAACGTTACTCCTAACGTATGTGAGAAATCAATACAGTAGATTTAAAAACAAGTTTAGAAATAACAAAGCCTTGACGTGGTCATAATGAGCGGTTAGATAAAGCCAACTAGCGTAGTTCGAGAGAATATATCTAGTAAATTGTTGTAGTTGCTCGAGAGAGAATTACGACATCTAAAGTGCTCACGATCAGTAGAGAATAAATTGGAAAAATTATAGGGAACATAGCTAGAAGGATTCCGACAATTGAGGAAATCATAACTCTAGACCTCCTTAATTTAGTCCCCAACCCTTTGTCTCGTTAGTTGATAATTTTATCGCTTTCTAGTATTTGCTAGTTAATTAGTTAGAAATATAAATCTCAATCTTTATAATTTAGAAAATTGTTCAAACTTGTCTTTTTAGTGATATTAAACAAATATAGCTAAGCCTTAGTTCTCTGTGGGATTCGACTCCGGACTTTTAGAACGGATTATATTTGCAGCGACCGCTTATCCTTTTTAGGACTAGAGTTGGGCGTGATCAGTGAGCCACCTTATACACGGCACAGACAGGATTGAATCCACCATTTAACGATAGGCGAATGTGTATAATTTCGTATAATTCACTAGCACAAATGAACTTTTTCCGTATTTTTTAAAATATCTCGAGCGGAAGGCCCTTGATAACCGATTTCACTAAACTCTTGTACATTTTGCATTATTTTTTTTACAAAGGGGGATTGCGTTATTTGCATAAATGGCCTTTTTGAGATCATTCTTTAATGAAAATTTTACCTTCTATAGCAAAGATTGACACCTTATTTATTATAAATAAATACCTTTTTAAAAAATTATCTCTTGTAGCTAGCTTTTAATTCTATAGCAAAATATCTATTTTTGGCCACTTCCTACCTTTAAGCTATTAAATACGATGTGTATTATTTTTCTCTCTCCTTCTTTCTTTTTGTTCTCTCACAAAAGTACCGTATAGTAGGTAAACTTCTCTCCAATTTCTCTTAGTCACAACGCCATTCTCCTTCCCATTCTCCACTAATTCATCTCCGTTGTCTCTTTTAATTTTCAACTTTTTTTACTCCAAAGAGTTGTGGTAAGTATGAAAGTTAGATTTTCGCTGGTACTGTGCTTCTTCTGTTTCTCTCTAATATGACTTAATAAATAATAGCCATTATTATGCTTTCAACAGAAAACTTGAAATTTACTCTCCAATGGCTAATTCAACAGCCCACAAGAGGGTTACCCGAGTTATACCCACTAAAGCATTCAATTTTGATGGGCCCTCGTTAGAATTTCAAATCACTCAAGCGGAACATGTATTTGCAGGTTTAGTAGTAAATACAGTTGCAGAGAGGAGAACAAAAATACGCAACGACACATCGAAAGACGCCCAAGTTGAGAAATCTTCGAAAGAATCTTGATATTAGGCTAGATTTATGTCATTTGACGATTGTTTTGCCCCATCTTGATTATGTTTCAATGCTCTAATATAATCAAATGATGAAAAATAAGCTCTAAATTGTGTTGCAGGAATAAGGAGCTTATATAAGGCCTTAAAGATGTGATTGGAGCTGCATTGAAGCAAGAAAGACCCCTAGGAGCTGAGTACGTGAGACGACGAGAAAAAGAATCGACCAAATGAAGGCCTGGACTAGCGCGACCGCGCTAGCCGGATGGTGGAGGAAAAATGGTAAGGCTACTAGCGCGGTCATTAGCGCGCCCACTAGCGCAGCCGCGCTAGCTCAGTTCCGGAAAATAATTCCTGGGGGTAAATTTTGAAGTCTGGGAGGCAAATTCACTTAACCTATAGAAGGTCAAGCTCACCCAAGGAGGGTGTGTGCAGCTTTTGATAGTTGAGAGCAAGAAAAGGAAAGGCAAGAGGCAAGGAGGATTATTCTACATCAAGTTCTTCTCTTCTTCCTTTTGTTTTTATAATTTGTAATGAATTTAATTATTGTGATGAATATCATTGTTATGAGTATCTAACTCTTTTAATCTAAGGTTTTGGGTGAACCCATTGTGGATGAACTTGTTGTTATATTAATATAGTTTGAGTTGGTTGTTAATCTCTATTTGTTCAACTACGTTTTGATTTTGGTTAGTTGAAAGGATCCT